AGGTGTTCAAAAGCCCCTGTCTATGACATCACTTGCTGCTGCAGCTTGACACAGGTCAGAGTATTTTGGTGGTTGCCATCTTCAAACGGTCGTATCTTAAAACCTATAACTCCTACAGCGAAGAGCTTTATATTGTGAGAATCACAATACCCAGAGGGAGTGGTGGCAGTTTAGAAATCATGTCCTGATTTTTCAGCTTTTGGCAGCTCCCACTCTAGCTTTGCCATTCATTCCTATGGGACAAATTGCGCCACAAAAACGACGATATTCCGTGAACCATTCGGCGAAACGTTCCACAAAGTAATAGCAATCCGATCGGGAACAATCTGCACGTTTTGGTAAATTTTTGTCTATGTAGTGTAAAAACTGTGGGAGGAGTTAGGGTGGCAAATTTGGCTATAATAAGAATAATATATATGTGAGATAACAATAAGTGGTCTTGCTATGCAAGAACACTTAATAATATATATGTGAGATAACATTAAGTGGTCTTGCAAGAACACTTAATAAGAATAATAATATATATGTGAGATAACAATAAGTGTTCTTGCAAGAACACTTAATAAGAATAAGAATAATAATATATATGTGAGATAACAATAAGTGTTCTTGCAAGAACACTTAATAATAATAATAATATATATGTGAGATAACATTAAGTGGTCTTGCTATGCAAGAACACTTAATATATATGTGAGATAACATTAAGTGGTCTTGCTATGCAAGAACACTTAATAATAAACACAACATTTTATAAGAAGTCTCAATCACAAGAAATAATTACATATCCCTGAGGAAGTCCCCAGCCAGACGAAACACGTTGGATTCTAACCATCTTTGACTTTGTCTCTTATTGTTATTTTATTTATCTTTTATGTTTTTTTTGCTGCTGTTGGCAATTTTATTAGATCCACAACGTTCCTGCTATATTCCATATTTTACTCCAGTCTGTAAGTGCATTCAAATAAAACTTTTTCATGTTCTAATTTTACTTCACTATATGAGTTTTTTTTTTCCTTTCCATATATACAAGGGTGCACATAATCTGAGATCGCTTTTGGTCCATTTTAACCCCTGGTGGGGTGAAAAGCCTGAATCGTCACATGTTTATGAGTTTTCTACTAACATCATACTTTTAACTTTACCATAACTATATTTTAATTATTATTATAGCTTTTCATCTGATCTACTTATCCTGGTCTACATTACCAGGTGGCTTTCTTATTTTTATATGTATACTAGGTGTTTTTCCCCACTCTTTGTTGTGTTTATCATTTATTAGGAGTTTGTGAGGTACACCTGGGAACACTTAGTTTTCTACATATGTATTGTTTGCTTTAGTGTATATATTCTTTTCGGTTTTCCAATATTTAAGATGTGGTCTTACCAGTGATTTATAAAGAGGAAAAATTATGTTCTCATCCAGAGCATTATTGCCCCTTTTTATACATGACAATAAGTTTTAAATGGAAAATTCTGTATATAAAATGTAACATGACACCTTCATAGTGTGTGCGTGTGTGCTTATACACTCTTTACTTCTGAATATTCTTTCAGATATTAGTAGTGTTCATGACAAGTCATGATTTCAAGATAATAATGACCATCATTCCATTTTATTCTGACCTCTATATTATATTTGTTTCGAGCTTAATGTATTTGGCATGAGTACCTCAGGCAAATGAAAATAATGTTAAGTGAGACAGAATGGCAAAAGATTATAGAATTAGACTAGCAAGTTCAATTCCATCACAACACTTTGCATTGGACTGGTTTAGTATGATTATTTTAAGAACTATATAGTTTGACAATTAATAAGCACGATTGCCTTGGCAAGAGATAGCGGGTTATGTTGCTAGAACAGCAAAAAGAAAAAGGAAATTGTTTAGTTTTATGGAATTAAAACAAAAATAATAATAATAATAATAATAATGATACACGATTTTGAATGCCAAAAATTAGTAAAAATATACAATTATTCAGTGATGCTTTATTCTATGCTTCTAGAACGATCCATGCAAAATGTTCTCTATATAAATAAGCATTGCTAGGTTTCCCAAAGACCTAGGTCTTAAGCCAACCAGGAACTTGATTACCTCTACTCTAACAGAGGGGTGTAGATGTGCGGTGACATATCCTGCCTTTCTGTGTTATGTCTCCTCCTGACTGATGCTCTCTTGGATCTCAAAAAAGCATAGCTGGAAAAAAGCATATTCTACTCAACCAGCTATTAAATGCAAATCGCAAATCCAGTCACATTACCCAACTAACAGTTGAATGTGCACCAAATTTTCAATCAAAGATCTCCCTCACCGGCTCCCTGGAAATCTGTTTCAGGAGTGGGAGGGAGGAAGGACCTGGGAGGCTGTAAGTTCCTCCTGAAAGCAGGCTGTCCTGCACATTACCATGGCTACACTCCAATTCAGCACTGTGCTTGTGGACTGCAGGCTAAAGTGAAGCTGCAGGCTAAAGTGCACGCACCACCACTGGACCACCAGAGCTTGCAGCATTATATCCCTCCTCCCTGGCCAAAGGTAAGAAGAAGAGTTGGGGGCGGGGGGGAAACATAGCTTTCTTTTTTTTTTAATAAAAATAGTTTTAAAAAAAAAAACCCCAAAAAACAATTTTCTCGCATCTCACACACAACATAGACCCTAGGCCCCCTAACACACACACATACACACGACACTGCACACAGCACCGCTCACAGACACAGCACCATTACACACCTAAC